CCACGTCATCAAGGACACCTTGGTCTTCCGGACCTTCGATCATTTGCACGAAGCCTTTGGCAGCTTGGCTCTCATTCACTGCCACGAAACACTACTTCGACATGACTTGATCGCCTCAAATCTTCTCAATTTCCCCCGTAGCCAAGGGGAACCTCATGACCTGGTGGTAGGTTGACGCTACCGCCTGCATGGCGTGAAGCCATCCCCTACCTAGGATCAGGTTGTATGTGGACGGCACCTTTAATACCCAGAACTCTACCTGTTTGACCACGGATCCGGCTTTGACCGGCAAGATTATCTTTCCCATCGGCCACTCCGGTTGTGAGTTGAAACTAACTAGCAGTGAAGTTGCTAGAGCCATGTCTGTATCTTGGAGTTTGAGCTGCTTGAAAGCGTCGTAGTACTTGATCTCGACCGAGCTACCTTGGTCGATCAAGATACGCTTAACATCGAAGTCTCTGACGCGAACGGTGACCACTACGGCATCATCGTGTGGCATTTGGATGCGCTCAAGGTCCCTGCTTGAGAAGCTAATCAAATTTTTCTCCTTAGCCTTACCCTTTTTGATCGCGGGCTGGACTTACAAAACCTCCCTCATATGTTCTGCCTTTTTTATCATCCCCCAGAGCTCGCATACCAGCGCCGGCTCCACTATACTGTGGATCACATTGACTACGCCTTGGGGGGGCGCCTCTAGGTCATCTGAACTGCTCGGCTCAATCGGGGTATGGCGCGCGGCCCTTACTCCCTCATCGATGTAACGGTCCAAGTGACCGACTGTAACTAACTCCTCCAAGTGGTGCTTCAAAGGCAAACAGTCCTCCGTCCGGTGCCCCCACTCCCTATGAAATGTGCAGTGGTACTGCGGATTGAAACCGTTTTACGCATCGCCTAACTTAGCGGGAAACTGGACGTAAACCTTGTCACGGATTTCACTAAGTATGCGGTAGATTGAAATCTTAAAAACCGTGGTGATGCCCGTCTGAATGTTCAACTTTCTGTTTGCATCTGCTGTGTCATCGCGGGGATAGTCTGCTTGGTCATTACGGCGTCCTTTACCTCGGTTTCTATGATCCGAACCACAGTCAGAGTCCCTTGCGCGGTCATTTGGACGGTTTGCCTCCTGTCCAACCGCGTGTACTTTTCCAGCCGCCCTTTTGTCTACAACCACCGAATTTGTCTTCACGGTGGATGCCGCCGCATCATCCTCTACTCGGATGTGCTCATTGATGCGTTGCATCAGCTGCCCTCTAGAAGTCAGCTGGTTCATCTTGAGCGAGTCCCTCAGTCTATGTCGGATCGGGAGACCGCGCTTATATTGAGTGATTGTCAAGTTGATCGGGCTATCTAGGATCTCATTGAAGGTCTCCCAATACCTGACGTTGTATGCTTTGAGGGTGTCGCTTGACTCTATCTTGACGCTCAGGAGGTGGTCCACTTCTTTTGGTATTTCGGTGTTAGTTTTGAATGGAGTTACAAATGCTTCCACCAACTGCTGCCACCTTTCGATGCTTTCCTCCAGAAGCCTCTTAAACCATTTCAAGCCCAACTCACCCAAACTCGATGGGAAAATAAGGCACATGAGAGCGTCATTACGCCTGTGTCCTGCCATGACATGTCAGAAGTGGCTTACATGCATGTACGGATCGATTTTTCCATCATAAAGCATAAACTTGGGTTGGTGAAAGCCCGCTGGGAGCGGTGTGGTCTCTATCTTAAGGGAGAAGAGGGTGGCGTTTAGTCTCGCCAAATCTGTGTCCAGGGGGACAAGCACGGCTGAGCGGGGCGGTGGCATTATGACCTCCTCACTAGCATGACCTCCGTAAGATAGCTGCTGGAACGCCGGCACCCTTCGAACCTCTCGTCGGCGAGCTCGTTCCTTCAAAACGTCTCTCAAGTTCTCTGAGCGAGCGGAGTAGGAATATCTCAACGTCGTTGGTGGGCGTGAAGGGTGGTAGCTACTATCTTGTGTGCTAGACTTCTCTGTGGGGTGGCTTTGAGTCTCTAGGCCTATAGCTTCTAGTGATGGAAAGGAAGGGCGTGTGCCATTGGTTCTGGCTTCCTGAGTGGCAGGGTTGGGTGCGCTCACTGTGGTCCCCCACTCCAGCAGCACCCTTCCCTTTGACTTGTCGTTTGAGAGCTTCCATCTCTGCCGCCATTCTCTAGATGACGGAGTCTTGGTCCCTTAACTTATGTTCCAAGCGTCGAGCGTGTAACTCTCTCCGCCGTCAGTGTCCGTCTGGACTCCGCGAATGACCAAAGCTCCTGTCGCGTTTATCCTGTGCATCTCTATGAAGACTTCCTGGGGAAGTCTTCAAGCCTGCCATGTTCGGAACGGCAGGAAGTCCGTCTCTCCGCTGGACCGACTCTGGGGTAATACCGTCGATGGCAGACAATTGTATTTGGTCGTTGTTTACCATGGTGGGTGATCCGACGAGCTTGAAGGGCAAGGTTGTGTCTGTTCGAGTTTCCCACAGACAACGCCAATTGTACGGGGAGGAAATATTCGACAACGCCCGTACTCCTCGCGTCCAAGCTCCGCTTCGTTCCGGTTAACCTTCGTACACAACGGTGGTGAGCTACTCGGCGGTGTGTTGCCGGAAAACCCCTCCGACGGACAAGTTAGCACATACTTAGAGAGAGAGAAGAGAGAGAAGAGAGAGAAGAAATTGTATTAGCGTTTCTCTCACCAGAAGATGTTCCATCCTCAGCATGGGGGGCGCAGTCGCGTTTAAATACTTTCTGTGCTCTCCTCTGCATCCATTCGCCTATTGACGGGTGGAGCTGCTCTCCCACGTGTTAGCGCAAATTCAGTTAAACACCACCTAATTGAACTGCCAAACGGCATTGGCGTGAACGTACAGCCCGGCGGCACTACCCCGGCCTCCTACGACTGTGTTACTTAACAAGACAAGCAGTGCTCCTCGCCGGGCTCCATTACGACCGAGTTCTGTAGCACTCCGTGATGACCGAGCTCCTGTTGGGATAGGCCGGTCTGCGGATGACCTTACTCGCTGAGCTAAACAAGCGAACAATAAGGCCCGGGCTGACAGAGACTCATCTCGGCCAAACAGGCCCTGGACTTCAACCGAGCAAGCCAGCCCTGGATCGGTCCAGGCTAGCTCGGCTCGAACACGCTCGAACCTCGTTCAGCCCGGCCATTACCTCGGCCCAAGACCGAATTAAGAATCTCCCTCTCAATTCTAGTAAACAATTGTAAGTTAATTTAAATGATTGTAAGTTTATTTTATTTCTGCTTATCTGTTTTTATTTAAAATATTCTATTTATTTTATTTAAGTTTATTTAGTTTAGTTTATTTTATTTAAGATTATTTACTTTAGTTTATTTAATTTAGATTATTTAACTTGTTTATGTGCTGCTTCCGCCAGCCATATGATTTGGCTAGTCTAAATGCTATTTTTTTATTTTTTATTTTTTTGTGTCTATTAGATTAGATTTTTTCTTTTTCTTTTTCATTGTTGATTTTGACACGTTGCTTCTAATTCAACCATATATAAATTGAAATTAAAAAAAAAAGAATCAAATAAATGGAATTGATAGATAAAAACAAACCAATAATTTAAGTTTCTAAATGATAAATTACAATAATAGTCCCTAAGCTACAACGAAATTAAACCCAAAAAATGATAAATTACAATAATAGTTCCTAAAGTTTAACACTTTTTTTTTTTTTGTTTAAGTCTCTAAAGTTTAAATTTTGCCAATTAAGTTCTTAAAATGTTAAATTCGAATCAATTTAATCCTAAAGAAAATATAAAAATAAAACATAAGAGAATAGGTCCTAATCAGAATTGCTATAAATAATATAAACGTAAGATAAATTGCACAAGTGAACAGATGGCGGAGTGGTTGGCAACGTTGTTTGACTCGGTGTTGGCATGGGTTCGGATCTTTAACATTCCATGTTTGTATTCATTTTTTCAATGGCCCATTACTAACCCGCGCCCAACCCTGGACAACGATGCCACTTGCTTTCTCAGTGGCGATGGCGGCCTCCGCAACTGTAAGAGCGTCAAGTCTAGATCAGACGCCGTCAAGTCCAAATTCGCCTCAACAAACGCAACTCTGGGAACTCGATCATCGCTACGGCATGATCCAAACCGAACCCTATCTGGATCATCTTCTCCGGCAAATGCTCATCAAGCTTTTGCGCCATAGAGAACGGAGGAATGGCGGACATAGATGAAGATCATGGCATCACTCACTAGTATATATATATATATATGGATAGTTTAGTCATTTTGCAGGAATTTGTTTTTATGAACCAAATATTTCAGAGAGGGTAGAACTTTGAACAAAGAAAATCTAAAATTGAATTTATGAACTGACTGCCTTTTTCAAAATTACAATTTAATAAATTTAAAAATCCACATTTGATAAATAACTACTAAATCGGTTTTTAAATTCAATTCATCACCCTCATAATCAAATCACCCAAAGATTAGATATAAAATGTAAAATGATCACATTTGCACCCTCCATTTATATATGTATATAAATGTATATGGTGGAAGAGGAAGAGGAAGAGGAAGAAAAAAAATGATGAATTTACTTAGAGTCCAAATATTTCATATCAATATATATATATATATATATATTTAAAAAATAAACTGGATAGATCAAATTTATTTTAAGTTTGACACATATCAAATTAAATTTAAATTTACACTAAATACTTTATTTTTGTGTACTTTTCAAGATAATTTGTAGTTTTAAAAAAGAAGAAAAGAGAAATGGTCAATGGTATGAATCTCTCAAGGATAGAAAGTCGGAAAATCAATCCCTTATTAGTATAGAGTGACAAATTTAAAAACTCAACCTTTGTCAGTATTTTGTGTGTGTGTGTGTGTGTGAGAGTACAATTCTTCCAAGAGCGGACAATATGAAGAAGCGTTATGGAACAATCAAATTTCAATTGCTTCAATTTTAAAATGTCAAAATGAATCCCAAGAAGAAGTTCAATTTTCCTGCATCAAACTGTATCATGGCTCTGGAGCTCCCAATGAGTAAATACATAAATAACGCAATATTATGCGTACATTTAAGACTCATTATTTTTTACATAAGAATGGCATCAGCTATTGTGCCACCACGTCGTACCTGGAAGAGATCATTCAAGCCAAAATGTGCCATGAGAAGCCAAACATGAGTGAGAAACTCGCCTCCACGTCTTAACTGCTGAGCATGATATCTTCCTCTGCATTGGCTAGCCGCATGACCTAGCATTTCAATCCAAATGTCAACAATGAAGCGCCATCTAGTGCCTGTATCGTCAATAGTTTTAAGTTGTGATGCAAGCTTACACCCATGCAATATCAATAAATTGCTTCTGCCCCCAAGTTTGGTGTCTTTATAATTGCTAATAAACAGCTTCTCATGGTTGCTACCTTTCGAAATCAACAGCTCAGATATTTTTATGTTTTTGTTGGCTTTCAACTGTTGTTCAATGATGTCCCCGAGCTCATAATAAATGTCCTGGAACTTGATGTGCCCCATCCCAAGTGGCAACATATAAGGATGCTCGACTAAGAGGTATAGCATATATTGTGACAGCCAGTTGCCTTTTTCAAGTTCTTTGTCCAGATCATCATAGCCTGCAAATTCTTTGTCGTACTGGTACAAGATTTCTGTAGCAAGGTGCCAAACAAGAATGCTCTGGTCAAACTCCAAATCGACAATACTCCATTTCAGATCAGGACACTGTCCGTCGTCAAAAGACTCTTTGTATTCAAGTGTTCGGCATCCCCTACGGCCGTACAAAGCTTTAAGATCTGTGTCATAGTTATGCTTTCCCAACCAATTTTTAACAATTACGTTCGTCGCTGTGAAGACTCTCTCTCTTAAGAGTTCGCCCACTGATACGGGGCTAGTCTTGCATAGTTGAATCTCTAGAGCCTTATCAACGCGTAACATTTTCAGGATTTTACGGCAGGGCAGAGGTTTTTCTTTTAATCTCATGGAAAAGTTTAGCAAGCTATACTGTTTCATCGAATATGACCACCTGCGTTTTGTTTTGATTGATGACTCGCAAGATGGTAAAATACACTTGATGGCTCGTGAGATGATGGTTTTCTCATGCTTAATTAACCAATGAGTTGTTTGGTCAGAGACAAGTAGTTGCTTAAATGCCCATAACTCTACAAGAAGGGCGACCGACAACAATATCAGAGTTATGGTAAAGTCGATGTTGGAGTGGCGGTGGTGGTGTTGTTCATGAAATTTCTCTCTGACCAGTTTGATCTCACTCAAAGATACCATCATCAATACAAGAAAGGATAGAATGATTCCAACAATTCTTAGGGAGATTCCCAAATTAGAGTAGATAACCTTGGCCTTTGTGAACCGCAAATCGTATATAATCCCGAGTTCAATCTCAATTATCTTGAATGCCTTGTCGGGTGATATCTTGTCAAAGATTGACCGACTTGTATGCCCATCTCGGATGCCAATTATGAGATCTGCGAAGAGACGCTTGACCATGTCAAGGAATCCAAAGGCCATAAGGAGTTCATTTTCAACATTAGGAATAGACTGATCAACCTCAAGCACCTGATGTGTTGTGACATGGTACCCCTCTAGCTCTTTAAGTTTGCATTCCTTCATTATTTTGGATTCATTGGTAGTGATATCCTGAATGGAGTCTCTAAAATTGTTATCGGTTGACAAGTACAGGACACAAACTCTTTCACAGTACTTGAATAGCCCCACAACAAACATGAGAATGAAGAGTATGGAAAGAAGAGAGCCTGTCCAGGCCATGAGAAAGATGTACACTGTGGTCATAGATTGAATAACTACTTGAAACGAGTGCCTTCTCCACAATTCATTGTCTTCCAAGGAGTAAGCAGTAATGGCATCTGTACCACCCAAGTGAACTAGCATTAAGGGCGCCCAGAATGCTGTTATCTCCACATTTGGATCAATAAAACCATCCACGTTGACTTTTCCAAGACGGTTGGACAGTATGCCAGCTGCCATTGTTGCCACAGAGTCGGCGAGTAAGTAAGCCGACCAAACAACAACTCTGACCTGAATCCCTGCTGTATGCTTTCGACGATTGCCCAGAATGACGAGAAGGACTTGGGTAGTGAGGCTGATTAAAACCATTCCTCGCACCTCCCATTCGTTCCAAAATTTCTTCCATCTTGGAGGAAAGAACTGCGTCATCACTCTCTTTCTTATTATAATTGCACTGCCAAATACTGATCCAAAAAAATAAAAATAAAAAAATAATTAATATTGATAAATGGAAGAAAGAATTATTAGAAAGAATATACATTTTCAACAAAACACCACCCCATCATCAACACGACACTTAATTGATAAATGGTAAATTGTACCAATCATCACTCTAATTTGCATCTTACGTTAATTTGGTCCGTTTAACTCTAATTGTATCAACTAATTTTTCACATTGTGTCAATATAGACAAATTCATAACAATTGTTAAGAAATTAAACATTAATCAAGGCAAAACGATCAATTCAGAAGGGAATGTCTTACTTCAAATTGGATAGTAACCCTCAATCATTTATGGAGAGTGAATTCACTATTTTGCTCATTGATTCTAATTCAAAATTTAAAAAAAGACATTATTAATTGAACTAAATTGATACGATGTGAAAAAATTTAAGGATAAAATTGATGCAAGTAAAACTACGAGAATCAAATTGATAGAAGAAGTAAACTACAAAGACTCTAGTGCAATATGCCTTTGTATAAATGTCAATACCATATCATTCTAGTTTCACTTTCTGCATGCTAGATTCAATCAAAGTTTCGATTCTTGTAATACAGATAAACCGATGTTGTTAGGGTTTTGATTGGTGATCCCTATCCACCGATCAATTTTGTTAGGGTTTTGATTGGCTATCTCAATTGACCGACTCCGAAAATCGCTACTCTCTTTACATCACATCCAAGTTGTTGTCAGCGGTTGTGATCCCTCATTATTTCCCTTCTAGAGAACTAAGAAGGCCTAGGATTAGGGTTCTAACAACGGTGGTAAAGGTTTCCACCATTCTTCCTATCTCTCTAAGTTTTTTATTTTCTTAGTTGCATTGCAGCTTTTATATAAATTGCTTTTCAGCTTTGCCCTTAAATCTTACTTCGTGAATATTTTACCTTTTAATTTTCCCTAATACCTTAGTTGTATGATATTCTAACTTTTAAAAATATTGGAATGTGCATACTCTTGCATGATAGTCTTGCATAGAAACTTTTACATAAGAAAATATACATATATATGCTGCATACTTACAAAAGATGAGTTATCAAATCATACTTCGAATCAAGGCCGGCTTTGGGCACAAGTACGAGAAGCCGTCACTTTGGCTCCCAAAAAATTGATTAAACAAAAAGCCCCAAAATTTTGTTAATTATTATACTAGCCTAAAAAAAAATCTCACTAGAATTTAAAGGGCCTCAACAAAATTCAGTTATGATTTAAAACTAATAGATAGTTGATATGATAAATTATTTAAAACTAATAGTTTCTTCTTCTTTTTTTTTTTATCAGAAGAAACCAAAAAACTTATTGATGTGGTGAATTGTTTAAAATTATTGAATGGTTATTTTCCAAATGTATGACTTTTTATTCAATATTTCACAGATTAGAAAATGTATAGGTGGAAGGTTATGAGGTGCTCTGTAAGGCTTTGGGAGTTTCTTGTTCTATTTGAGTTGGAATCTCTCCAACTCGTTTTGGGGGTTTGGAGATGCACATGATTGGTCTGACTTTGGGTGTCAACATAATTGGGATGCTTAGTTTTAACAATGATGCAACTTTAGAATAGTAGAGAGAGAGAGAGAGAGAGAGAGAGAGAGTAAATAATATGTATTGTATTGAATGATGTCCTATACAATAGAAGGCATGTATATATAGGCTGAGAAAGAGTATCCTACTAGAAATCTACCTATGAGAAAAAGTATCCTATAAGAGAGCTAACTATGGCAATACCTAATATATCTAGGAAATCAATACCTAATATGTGTAGGAATATGTACCATATATACATTAACATCCCCCCTCAAACTCAAGGAGGATAAACATTTTGAGTTTGGAGAGAGAAACTAAAACATGAAAAATAACTAAATAAAATAAAAGGAAAATAGATTTGCAAAATCTGAACGGGATTGCAAGGGCGCTTGAAATAGATCAAAGGCCGGAACTAAAGCCGATAAACAGTTTATGGTCATGTCAAACCATTATAGGAACTGGCTGAAACTAATGCCAAGACAATTTAAAGTCGTGCCGGACCAATATAGAAACTGGCTAGAATTAACGCCAAGAGACAGTGTATGGTCGTGTCGGACCATTGTAGAAACTGGCTGAAACTAATGCCATGACAGTTTAAAGGGGTCATGCCGGACCGATGTCGCAGCTAATCGAAATTAATGTCGGGACAGTTTATGGGGTTTTGCCGGACAGTTTTAGAGATTGGCTAACCGGAATCAATGTCAAGACAATTTAAAGGGGTCATGTCGGACCGATATAAGAGCTAACAGGAATCATTGTCGGGATAGTTTAAAGGAGTCATGCCGGACCGATGTAGAGAACTGGATATTGAACCAACAACCGTAGCACACACATAACTTATGACATGGTGTTTAACGATGATAGCAACAGAAGACTGAGTGCGCCGGGAGGTGGCTTGGATGGTGCACCAAGGGGCGAGTTTGGTGGTGCGCCAAGAGAGGGTAGCTTGGATTGTGCGCCAGAAGGGGCGGCTTGGGTTGTGCACCAAAGAGTGTGGTTAGGATCGTGCGCCAAAGGAGGCGGCTTGGATGGTGCACCAAACGGCAACTTGGGTGGTGCGCCACAAGGGGTGGCTTAAGTTATGCGCCATAGGAGACGACTTAGGTGGTTTGCATGGTGTATAACCATGTTCACCATAATATAGATATAATACCTCCCCTCAAACTCAAATAGGTTTGAAGATATAAACCAATTTGAGGTTGAAGTAGAGAGAAAGATAAGAGTGTATTGAACCAACAACCGTAGCACACACATAACTTATGACATGGTGTTTAACGATGATAGCAACAGAAGACTGAGTGCGCCGGGAGGTGGCTTGGATGGTGCACCAAGGGGCGAGTTTGGTGGTGCGCCAAGAGAGGGTAGCTTGGATTGTGCGCCAGAAGGGGCGGCTTGGGTTGTGCACCAAAGAGTGTGGCTAGGATCGGGCGCCAAAGGAGGCGGCTTGGATGGTGCACCAAACGGCAACTTGGGTGGTGCGCCACAAGAGGTGGCTTAAGTTATGCGCCATAGGAGACGACTTAGGTGGTTTTCATGGTGTATAACCATGTTCACCATGATATAGATATAATACCTCCCCTCAAACTCAAATAAGTTTGAAGATATAAACCAATTTGAGGTTGAAGTAGAGAGAAAGATAGAGTGGAGAAAAAAAAAATGTATTGCGAGTAAAAAAAAAAGAAGATAGAGATATTTGGGGTATGAATAAACCAACGAACAAAGGAAGAGATTTCCACGAAACAATACTGACAAGAAAACATGACAGCATAATAGGTTGAGGTCCGGTGGCGGCCAAGGCAAGGCTGCCGCCCGCCAGTAAGGCAAAAAACACCAAGAGCTTAACCTATAGCTCTGATACCATGTTAGAATAGTAGAGAGAGAGAGAGTAAATAATATGTATTGTATTGAATGATGTCCTATACAATAGAAAGCCTGTATATATAAGCTGAGAAAGAGTATCTTCTTAGAAATCTAACTATGAGAAAAAGTATCCTATAAGAGATCTAACTATGGCAATACCTAATATATCTAGGAAATCAATACCTAATATATGTAGAAACATATACCATATATACATAAGACATGTTGTAATCCTACTTTACTTTAATAAAATTTTATTTGTTTGCTTCACAAAAAGAAAATATATATATATATATATATATATAAAATATGATTGATTATATTACAATTACTCTTTTCAAATTAAAGCTAATTAAATCTTACATTTACTCAACTATGTGAAATGAAAGATTAAATGGGTTAGCAATTTTATCCATCGAAAATGACTTAGCTTATAAGTTGGTTTATGCGAACTAGATTAATAATTTTATAGCTAAATATGTCAGAAGAATGATATTTAAGTGATTTTTGTTACAGCTTATTTATTTTTTATTTGATACTTTAGTTTAGATTATTTTTAACGGTTAAGTAAATTTTAATAGATATATACTGAAAGTAACTTTTTTACGAAATACCACAAAAAAAAAAAAAATTAGGCACATAATTACTTTTTTTAAAAAATATGTATGAAAAGTCTTGCTTTGAAAATTTGTTTTGAACCCCGAAAAAGTCAGAGCCGACCCTGCTTGGAGTATAATGTCATTCCCATGAAGTTTGCAATGAATAATGTATGAAATGGAAAATGCTATACAAGCAAAAAAAAATTTACAAACTTTTCTTACAAACTGATGTGGTATGGAGTGATACAACTTTAGAATGTAAAATGAGACCCAACTTACTAATATTCTAAGTGACACATCAGTTTGTAAGGAAAATTTGTTTGGAAAGTTTGTTTGTATAGCACTACTCATATGAAATTAGCAATGAATTGGATATATTCACTGAACCCTGTTATTTTTATATTTATGTCATAATTGGCCAATTTTATTTTGAATGCTAAAGTGATTCGAGTGTATTAGTTTTATTGGGAATTGTGTAATTTGAATTTTGATTTTTCTAGTTGAATAAATTGTTCATATTTTTTCATTTGGTGATATGATTTGGTTTTATGAAATTTTTTTATTAGATTTTTTTGGAATTTTTTTTTCTTTTTTTGGTGCAAAGGAATTCTCACAAAAAGTTGTGGGAAGATTGTTTTTAGCAGAATTTAAATAAAAAAGGCATTATAAGTCAATGTGACATCATTCATTAGTGTGGCGCATGGCAAAACGTTGGAATGACGTTTGTAACATGTCGCTAACTTATGGCGACGGCCTAGTCATCAGCGTGTGGGAAAACATCGCTAAAAATATTAGCACAATGTTTCTAAATGTCGCTAACCTATAGCGACTGTTAGAATGGTTGAAAGAAAAGGAAAACTGTGTAGCAGTGTATATTGAATTGAATTGAGTACAATAGGAGAGCCTGTATTTATAGGCTGAACACAAACTTAGATAAGTATAGAAGGAGAAGGAGATAAAGATAGATAGAGATAGAGATAGAGAG